AATATACATACAGTGGCTCACAGTCAAAATGATACACCTTCATATTGATAAAGATTATAGAATAAATAAATAGTTCAATTTACATTACATTAAAATAATTATTATTTATTGTAATCAATTAATATTGTAGTGATGTGTTCGTACGTTCCTTTTCGAGGTGTGGGGTGGTGGGGGTGTATGACGTCTTCTGATGTAGGACATCTTCACAGTATAGTAGAAATATTTACATCGCATATTGAATAAACATCGTTCCACAGACAGTTTGAGTAGAAACTTGAAAGAAATTTTGGAAAATTTGGGCTAAAAAACTAATTTTGTTTTTATCAGGATAATGACCTCGAACAATCTGCCATGTAAGTTAAGATGTGGCTACTTTATCTTATACTGCTTATTTATTTATCGTATACTTTATCTTGTACTGCCACAAAGTTATAAAAACTCCAACACAGCCCCCTGATCGTAATGTGATAGAACACTTGTGGTAAAATTTCGGAGGTAGAAGTTAGAAAACAAGAATTTCTTGCATAGAAAAGTCCAGAATCATGAATCAATTTTTCGACTTCATTACGGACAAACTGAAAGGAGTGGTAGAAAATAATGGTTGCTTACAAGGTATTGAAATAAAATAATAGTATTTAAAAGTTAATAAGAAGTGAGATGTATAATTTTGAGTATGAGATAAATAATCCAGTTTTTTTTTTAAATAACACAGTTGAATATTTTAATTTTACTGAGTTTATACATATTTAAAATGAGATTATAAATAAATCTGGTGAAATGTTTCAGGTTTTATTTGTTTACTGTGACCATTTAAGTATTTTTTCTATTTTTCTAGGAGGTGTATAAATTTCACTGTGAGCTCCTGTATATTCAACAACTATTCAAATTCTATTACGTTTCAAATTTTCTTAACCTAAACAATTAAATATTAATTAATTCTAGGGATAGATCGCCCCGAAAACTTTTGGAGGACACAGATAGCTCTCTGAGGCCACATGCGACCTAGATACTGCATGTTCTCTTCCTATGCTATAGATTGTATCTTCGCTAATAATGTTCGGATTTTTATAGTTTTTTTGGGAGGTGAGGACTTTAATAATCTTCTTCAACAAACAAATGTATACTTTTTGAGTTATTTGCATAAAAAAAGTCACTTTTTTTCATAATACTTTTCTCCGAAATTTCGATGGGATCACTTCACCATGAAATTCTCTTTCGTTTTATACCTCGTTTATCAAGATCTATAGCCCCTGAGAGACGGAAAGGGGATCTAAATTGCAAAATAATACCGTGTAATATATAAATATAGGTTATAAAATAAAAGAAAAACGTAATTAAATAAACACAGATGTTGGGAGGTTTTTACGTTTGCACCAACAATGAAAATAATTATAGTATAGTAGAAATATTGGTACATATTTTCATAGACAAACTTCTTAAAACAGTTAAATAGTTTTGTACAGAACAAATAATATTGTATTGTAATAAAACAAATAAAATTGAACAGCAGTTGCATAAGGTTTAAATTTATTTACTTATTATTCAGGCTAAAATAAATTAGATGTATAAAATCAGAAAGATGTATACGAAATTAAACAAACTAATAAAAGCTGAAGTACAAATAAATTATGAACACCACAAAAAAATATGTATTTTCTTGACTATTGTTGGCATACTTGAAAATAATTAAAGCTATAAGATAAGTTTAAGAAAATATACAGAATTCAAAATATTTTGAACAAATATAATAAATAAATAAAAATAATATTAAAAAGTAAATAAAATAGAATTTTTCGAAATTAAGTGCTAAAAATAAGATAAAATAAATTACTCATACCTTAATAAATAATATTAAATTAGATAAAATGTAGGCTCTCAGACTCATACACACATACAACTAAATCCAGCATATTATAATCTGTATATTTTTTCAGTCTCTAATTTATTCCAAATCTCAATTAAGTGTTTAATTATTTTTTTCTTGGCTCTATCGCTGCATCTTCATTTTAAATAATAAGTTAAAACTAATTTAAAAACGAAAACTCTTATATAAACTAATCTGCATTTAACTCATTGTCAAATAATAGGTTTCTCCCCAAAAACATTTTATATTACTGGCTTTATGGAGGCTATTTGAGCTGTCTGAATTAATAATAATAAATATATAAATAAACTATGATGTAAAAAAATTCATTGATAAAAAGATATATTATTGTAAGGTTATGTAAAAGTACCATTGTGAGATTTCAATTAATAAAATAACACAATTATTATTTCAGTTATTTAATGCATGTTGGGTGTTGTGAAAACGACATTAACATACCAGAATTATACACTACTATACTACATACACATTATTCTAAATTGGAATAAACAGTTGTAACAATGTAAATAAACACGATAGTCCAGTTATCCCTACTACAATTATAGTGAAGTTCTTGAAATTATGTTAGTATTTATTTTTGAGTGAGAACCACATAACACCCCGGGTCTACACTACCTTTCACACTGACCACTAAATCAAACAAATTATTAATTATATAATTATTCAATATTTAGTCAGTTATAAATCGCAATTCATTGTGTTATCAAGTAATTACATTTAAAAAATATATTCTTCTCCATAAAATTTACTCCTGAATTCGCAACTTATTCGAATGTTAGGATTTTCATCCAAATCGTGTGTATGATTAAGATTGATCCAAAGTTTACCGAAAATAAAACGTTTTCGATTCTCAGCCTAACAATCTGTTAGATTATTTTCTTGCTGCTTACCAACACGCGTTTTAGTTCGGTGTTTCAAAGATTTTATATTTTATCGAATTTTCTAAATATTCAAGAGCATTGATAATTAATAAAATTAATAATTTCGAGGAAATAACTTTATTTAAACCTTACACTTTCACTCCATGCTTCAATTCATTTTTATTTTTTTCGAGGACGTTTCAGGCAATTTTGCCCATTTTAAAGTCGAAATATTTATAACATTATCCTATCATCTATGTAATACTATTTTTTAAATAATTATTGTTGGGACTCTACAAAACCATCGAATTCCTTTCGTATCCAATTGTTAAAATCCAAAATCCTTCGTAAAATCATCAACGCTCCTTACATGGTCACAAATAAAATCATCCATAAAGACCTTAATTTTCCATATGTTTCCGATTTGGCAAAATCCAGATACCTATCCTTCCATAAAAAACTGCAGAACCATCCGAACCCTCTCGTTTCCAACCTTACTTCCTCTTCGATCCCTGATAATCCTCCGAGGCATTAGAAAAGAAGGTGGCCTCGTAAACTTTTTGTGTAAATTTATTATTTGAGTGCTATCAGTTTCTCAACAACGATTTCATGTTATTATATTCCTGAGTGCACATTAACTAGTTGTATTTTTTTTACAATCAAAATATCAGTTGTAAATATCAATGAATAAAAAAAATAATTAATGTAAAAATTTTCTTTTTTTTTCTCCTCACATTCTTCTAATATTTAACTTATTTATGAAAAATCAATTCTATGGACCGTCTAAAAATCAAAAACTTTTTTTAAAATTTACATTAAATGTTACATATTTTCGTCCATTTTATAAAAACAGCCTGATGCCCGCTATAAAGCATGGAGAGAAGGTGTAAGGGTTAAATAAAGTTATTTCCTCGAAATTATTAATTATATTATATATCTTTTAAAGAATTTTCTTGAAAATATGCCCATCATTTAAGGTAATTAATGACACAATTTGATTCGAGATTTAAAATTTAAATACAAGGAAAACAAGAGAATATTTCGGATTTGGTTGAAAAAAAGAAATAAATAGATCAACAAGACGATACGGATTTCATAAGTAATTTTTTAAAAGAAAATGTATTTTAATTAAAATAAAGCTCATTTAAAATTTAAGATTTCAAACAGACAAAATTTACAATAAAAAGAACCTCTCCTCCAATGCAAAGTTAAGGCATTACAACGTTGTGATAATGCCTGTGATTTTATATGGGACGGAGACCACATGTCTGTCCAACTTAGAAAAGTTGCTAAGAATAGAAAGGAGCGTATTAAGAAAAACCTATGGGCTAGGAAAACACAAAAAGGTTACAGGCGAAGAACTAACAAAAAGATCTACAGAAAAATCAAAAACCTGGAAACCGAGATAAGAATTAGAAGTCTGATGTTCTCAGGGCACATGAAAAGGATGAAGAAGGAAAGATTGAACAAAAAGATTTTTAACACAATTTTTTTCTACAAAAGCATGGGAGGATGCACAAAGCAAATAAGAGAAGAATTAAAGAAACTTAAATTTTCAGATGCCGACTGTCTAGATAGAGAAAAAAGGAGGGGCACAAAATGGTCCGTAGTAAGAAAAGAAATTCAGTCAAAAATCATGCAGTAGAATGACCGTTTTATGATTTAAACCCTATAACAAAAGTGTCGTACAAAATCAAACGTTGTTTATATATTTTGTTTATGAAATATATTTTCTTTTTTTTTTTTTAACAAGTTTTATTTATAAAATTATTTTGGTGCATAGATTTACTTAGGTAGTCATTTTTGTTTAAAACTATCTCTTCTAGAGAAGCTTTACAACGGACAAATCCCTCGAATCCTTTAGCTAGAGAGGTTCATTTTATTTTAAAATATCAAGACATTGTGTACATACCCTCTCCTATTGAATAGGAACTCCTTGTAACCCAACATATCGATGTACCGTTAAGTGTTCCATAAATGCCACTATCATTAATTTTCTAAAAAACGTAAATATAAGTGATTGGAAAAGTAATTTAATACCAATTTTCCTGGGAAGCTCCTGTTATTTAAATGGTAATTCCTGCTTTATGCATAATTTCCGAGCGATGGCTGCTTTCGATTAAGCTCGCCGCCGGTACCGCAAAACCGGTATCCAATGACATAAAATTTGACAGGGAGAAAACACATTGACGGGAGGGGGGGGGGACACAGTGACAGGGGGAGGAACCACAATATTTTCCGCTCGACCATCGCTTATGCAGATCCGAACTCCGGGCCTAATCGCCCGTCGTCCCGGCTCAATTTCACACTTGTTAACTTCTTCTCGACCGGAGGATGCTTTAGTTCGACCGGATAGGGTCAAGAGGGAAAGTTCCTTTACGGGGTATATATCATGAATACATAATACATTCATGTTTTCCCAAACCAAAAAATGAAAAAAAAATATGAAAATTCAGAAATATAAAAAGTTTCAATACAATATGCCTACTTTTATTTTTTACCATAAAAGACAAGATAATATTAATAATCAACATTAAAACTTGTTTACATATTAAAGTTACAATTGAACTTGTAAACAAATTCTATTTCTTTATCAAGGTATTAGTTGTCATCCATGCTATTGTCAACTATTGTAACAGTGTATCGATTTGTTGGGGTATTTTTTTTTTAAGTAATAGCTGGAATTTATTTATGTATATTTCTCTAGTAAGAGGCCATTCGAATTAATATTTAATATTGTGGGGCAAGTGCAACCACGGGGCAAGTATGGCCAAGGCTGTTTTTTCCCTAAATAATGATTGTTTTTTAGAAAAAAACACTTGATTTGTTATTGTAGATAATTTTCTTTAAATTTCTACCAAAGAGCCTCAGAAGATCCAGCTTATATATATTGTTTTTTAATGCTTATATTTTTGTACTCAATGACAGTTCGATCATGAAACCGGCATTTTTTCGTATTTTTGACTATCAACACAGGATAACCAAACTTTGTATTTAAATAAAGTTTAATTTGTAGTTTCAAAAATGTACCTTATCTTAGTAACGGTTTTAATATTTAAAAAAGAGAGTCGTGGCTACGCCATTGTCCCATCATTTTTGCAAATGGGGCACGTGTAGCCACTAAGAAAGGGGTAGGTGAAATCTTTTTAACACTCTTTAAAATAATAAATATAATCAATAAATCACACAAAAACCTGATTTGTAAATTTTATCTATTTTTACGATTACTCCCGCGTTGCCTCACGAAAAAGATCGTATCCCGCAAATGGTTTAAGTTAAAAAAAAAAAAAAATGGCAGAATCTGTGAAAAACAAACTATGACAAACTTGCCCCACTGTCATTTATACCTCGGATGTAGGGGGTAAGTTCAACCAGTGGACATAAGAATTTTTTAATTTACAGAAAATGGTAAAAATATTCTAATTGCTGTATGTTGTAGCCAGATAATCCTAAATACTGCGAGCTGAGTTGTAATTCCATATATCTTACTATCATCTTCATACAGTATGAAAATGAAAAAAAAAAAAAAAACTTATTTGCACCCATCCCACTTCATCTTACTTTATTTAATTACTCTTTAATGATAAATATTTTTTCTTGCCCCCAAAGGTGAATTATTGATATTTTTATAACTTAGCTTTGGATAGAATCCCTTGAACTGCATGGCTGGTTTGCATTCTAAGCAAGTAAAATTGATGAAAACTGATATTGTGATAAAACGATATTCACGTTCTGTCTGGTTAAATCTAAGGATTTTTTTCAAGTATTTCCCAATTCTGTGGCCGTTCAATCGGCGTCACTGTCCTAAAAAGTGTATTAGTCGCGTATTGCATGAAAAAAAAATTGATATGCCAGCGTAGCGGGTTGAATAAAAAAAAGTTTTTGATATGAATTTGTCTCTAAATTTAATTTCAAACAAGAATGGGTTAAAAAATATAAAATAAAAAACTATAAAGCTACGTTTCCGCAAATTTACCTTAGGTTACCAGTTTGTGATACCTAAGTTTCCTTTTGATATTCTAAACATTAATAAGAAATCAAAGTAAGTCATATATTCTTATATACAGTGGCTCACAGAGAATTTGATACACCCCGTAGAAAAATAGAAAGAAGATTTAAATGGTGACAGTAAACAAATAAAACCAGGAACCCTTCAATATATTTATTTATAATTCCAATATAATCTTCTTTGCTAAAAATTTAGTTTTTTTCTAATTCCTAACTCTGATTTTTCTCAGAGGGGTTATATCACAATAAGATCTGGTGACTGTGGTGAAGTTTTTATATCTTTGGGGCAGTTATAAAGTAGCAATTTCTTAACTAATATGGCAGAGCGACGGGGCCATTACCCTGATAAAAATTAAATTTATTTTTCAGCCCCAGATTTACCGAAATTGTTTACAAAAAGTTGGCAGGGGCAAATAAATGTTTTATAGGCCAAAAAATAAAATTATTAGCTTGAGTATTGACATTTTTAAGTATTATTACGGAAACATCAATCTTTTATTTAATATGAGAGTTTTTATTTTATTTTTTTAAACCTTACGGTTAAATTAATAGATTTTCATAGCAAAGTAATATGGCCCTTGAATAAAGCTCCTAAATTGGGAAACCAGGCCTCTGTTCGAAACGCACAGCAATTAAAATTTATTTATTACCACCAGAATCTTCATTACAGACGCCCGTATATTTGCCAGTCAGTTGTAAATTTTGAAGTGATGCATTGGAGCAGAGCAGTAGATAGTTAAATTTAACTCTACGGTTGGATTTGTATACAATACGCAGGATTGAATAAACCAGAGAAAACTTTCGTTTAAAAAAAACCGAGATACCAAAGACTTTTTTTAGTGTGACCATTAAATTCAAACGGAAGCTATTAAACTTTACATTAATAGATTTTCTTTTTTGGCAATGGCAACTAAACATATCTATATCACCTGTTGAAACACAAAAAAATATTTTAAAGGATTCTACTATTTCTCCGAAGCACTGGGATTTTTTGTACTTATATAAAATTAATTTGGGTAAGCACACCAGTGATGGACATAGCTAAGAAAATTTTCCATTTTTTACCTGTGCCGCCGTAATTATTATAATCATAAACTTCTCCATTGGACATTTAGAATCTTTAGGGTCTCCTTTTTCTATTTAACAATTTAAAATTGAAACAGAGTTCCCGGCAACCTCATATATATCAATCAAATTTTATAAAAATAGTCACGAGTTCGCGTTCCGGTGCCGAGGGAGTTCTTTAAATCCCCAACCACTCTCCCTGACCCGGGAAAACCCCGTATAGCGAAAAAAAAAGGGGTATCAGGCTTGTGTCTGTGTACCGCATTATAAACAGATATAATGAGACTCTATCTGTACGTAACAGACATCCCTGCACTGTGAAAACGGCAAATGCTGTAACATCATTGGCTGCTCGAATCAGAAGAAATCCAATTCGAAAACAATAAATTATGTCTCGAGAAACGGAAATCTCTGTCAGATTAATGTCTCGCATAACAAAAAGTGACATTAGGATGGGTGCATTTCAAAGAATGACAGTAAGGACAAAGGCTAAGGTGGTTACACTACCAAAAAAAAAAAAAACAATAATAGAGTGGATAGATGCAAAGTGCTCCTTGACCGTTACACCAATAGTCTTCATCGAAAGATTTTGTTTAGCGATGAGAAAATGTTTACAATCGAAGAAAAAATTAATCACCAAAATGATCGTGGGTAAGTACACAGCTCTAAAGAAGCCCAGGAAGTCATTGGAATAGTGGAAAGAGGTCATAACCCTTCCTCAGTGGTAGTTTAGTTTGGTGGGGAGTTTGCTTTGATGTCACCACAAAACTCCATTTTTGTGAAAAATGAATTAAAACAGCCGTTAAAAACTATCAAGACGATATTGCGAAACCTGGTCGTCAAGCCATTAAATGATACTTTGTTTGCTGGAAGTCGTTGGTTTTTCCAGCATGATTCCGCTCCAGCTCACTAGGCCAGGTCAACTCAGCAGTGACTGCAAAAGAACATTCCAGAGTTCATCCCTGCCTCGGATTGGCCCTCAGGAAGCCCTGATCTCAACTCACTAGATTATCGGCTTTGTTCCGAACTGGAGAGAATGGCATGCTACAGAGCAAAACCTAACTTGGAAAGCCTCAAACAATCTCTTGTCCGATCAGTTGAGCGCTTTCCTCAAAAAGTTTTGCATGCTGCTATTGATGACTGGACACGGAGATTAAATGCTTGTGTCAAGGCAAAAGGTGTAAAATTTTGAGTAATTTATTTTTTATTTTAATCTCTATAGATATATATTTTAATTTCTAATAAACTTTTTGAACAAATTAATCTTTCTGTTGAAATCTATATATATTTCCTTGTAACAATATTTATGACAGAACTAGGTATTTATGGCGTTTCTATGACTTATCTATAATAACAAATAAAATGTGTGTAGAGATAATTCCAGACAAATAAAAAATAACATAAAAAGCATTCCATACATCCACCGTATTATTCAAATTACAATTAATTAATTTATTATATCTTAAAAGAAAAAGAAAAAAATCGATGAATGAATCGATGCATAGAATGGCTAAAAATGTAATCAATATGAGGAGATGAAACAAACGAATGCTCATTAAGAAGCGGCTGTGTGATTGCAGAGAGCCAGCCAATGCTTCCTTGATTAGGCGGTCAGATACCTGGCTAATTTATTACAGGGAACACGCCACCGAATTTAAAACTGCCACGGCCATCTGGATAGCATACCTGTTTTGTTCTACATTTGAAAAACATAGCCTTTTCTAATGAGCGGACTTCATTTGTCGTTGGAATGTTATAATTTATAATTGTAAAAATTATGACCCATTATATTTTAGCATATCGATATATACTAAAATATATAAGTATATATAAAATAAAAAATGGTGTCTTGTGCACATAACAAAACATTTTCTTATCAAACTAACTTGAAGAGAAATTAATTCACAATTAATTGATCATCCATATTTTCTCGGTCGGCTGGTATCCCTCAAAGTTGTATCCTCGGTCCCATCCTCTACAAAGTGTATATATATATATATATATATATATATATATATATATATTTTCAAACTCTCCCGTATCATATCACAAACCTTGAAGAATGTTATCGAAATTGGAGGATTAAAAGAAATTTCCATAAAGCTCATCAAATCACCTTTACCCTTCGTCGTACTCCAATAACTTCCTGTCTTAAAGTATCCTTTAATAATTTTTCAGAGATTTGCTTATAACGTGGTTTTATACAATTTTGAATTGAGTGGATAATTCGCGAATTCTGACTATTTTATGAGAACTTAACTTGAATTGACGTGGACCAAAATAGTGTGTAAACCTAAACAGCCTAAAAGAATAATAACAAACTTATTTATGCTTATGCTTTGTTAGAACCGTTTTGTAAGGTTTTAAGCTATTTTACACTCGTATTGCACCATCAAAATAAGAAAATATTCAAAATAAAACATTGATGGCAAAAGCCAGATCTCCCCGGAACACCTTTTCTGTTTTAGTATGAAGTTATTGAAATTTCGAAACTTTTATTTGTTGAGAAATTTCGTATATATTAATTAGAAATAAATATTATTGATTTAAAATATGTCATTTATTACACAGTGCATGCACGGATAACTATTCAGTAAATGGTTATCATAATATTTTAATTACAGTACATAACTCATAGGGCGGCCAAAAAAAGAGAAGACACGATTCTAGCTTGTCAGTTGGTGTTCCATGGCTCATGCAAATTTGAACAATCTGTCTGTCTGTCAGAACAGCTGCACTAGACAGCCGTTTGAAAAATTGAGAAACTTTCTCATTGAATCAAGGGTCTGGCTTTGTTTCCGTCAATATTACAACAGGGGAAGATTTCTGGGTCCAATTTTCTGTTACTTTTATTTTTAGATTGTATAAAAATAAAAAATGTTTGTTTTATTGAAGCTTAAATACAATTTTTGAAGGACCGAAGGCAGTGGTTTTCCTTCCTAAATCTGATTTCCAATAAATGACTTATTTCTATGTGCATAAAAACTTTCACTTACCGATAAACCAATAACCTTGTCTTTTAAAAAAAAAATAAAAATATGTGTATGTGAAAAAAATTAACTTATTTTCTACTTATTAAGATTTTCTACACACAGACTTATTTTTTTACATTTTAAGTATAGAGTTAAGTAAAAAAATAAACCGTTTTCAATAGATTCATGAGCGTTATTAATATTAAAACGAATAATGTTTTTTTTTAAGTTATTTGTTTTATAAGACTATGCGCTGTTGAACTATTTTATATAGTATCATTGCGGAAATAATTTTTCTGTCTTTAACTGTACAATATCGAAGGAAAACTATTCAAGAATAAACAGGAATATGAATAATTATTTCTATTATCATTATTAATAATAACTAATGAGTCTTAGGCCGACGAAAGAAAAAAAAAATACAGATATATATATTAAACATTAAATATAAATATTAAATAAAAAATATGAATATTTTCAGCCATGAATATTTGAAAATCGGTACAATCGTAACGAGACAGGAACAGAGTTAACGAAATGCAGAGCTGGATCCTGTCAATTATTTGTATGACGAGACGCCATTGGCAATGATCGAATTATCTTGTAAAATTTGCTAGAATTGACGTCTGTCTCGTGAAATTATATTTTAACGTCAGAATAAAAAAAAAAAAAAAGGCGACGGTCTCTTCCGAACATTTTTGTTTTTTAATTTGAAGAGGAAATCTGTCACGTTTATTTTATTTATTCAGTTACTTTGAAAAGAAAAAGTACATTCTATTCTGAGGATGTTTATTAATGCACACAGATGGAATGGATATAGATGTTACTTAGCTAAATAACTAGTGAAAAAAAAAAGATCTAAAATGAGTAGCTATTAATATATTTGGACTTATTCAAGTATGTCAATTTTTGTATTACAGGTTCAACTCAAACTGTTTCTGATGGTTTTATTCAAACATTTTTAATTAAATTATGAAAACAAATCATTATAATTGATTTAAATTGAAGCTATAAAACAACAATTTTTTTTTCTTCACTTTTTAAAATTGGCAGATCCGTGTTTGATATAAAGCCATTTATTATGTTATATGTTATTGATTTTTAACTGATTTCGAGCTAGCGATAAAACAAAATACAGTCGCTGTAAACACATTTGGATTTATTCACTTATTCTTTATAACTTTTTTTAAAATTTTAAATAGTTTAAACGATTATCAGAACATCATTTTAAAAATTCTTAATGATGATATAAATAATTTTTATTCATTGAAGGGTTCTGAAAACGAAGATATTAACAAAAAATAAATAACCACTGATAATCAAACGCTTAGCTTCCCTTCTCTGGATATTAAGCAATTAATACCTGTCTTCAAACCCAAATTTGAGTTTTATTTATTATGAATATTATTTTAATATCAGTAATAAATGTTTTTCCCTTTGTTTCAGGTAAGAAATTCAGACTGAAATAGCTTCTCTCAAGTTAGTTATCTTTTTTTTTCTACTTAAAATGGTGATCGTTATAGTAAACCGATAGTTTCCTTTTCTCTAAATTCCAATAACATTGTACTGGAATTGAAATAAGCCAAAAACAAAAAGAACAACGAAAATATTATTGCACTTAACACACCATGTACTGGTGTCACAGATATATTGTTGGGTATGCGGGGTTGGATTTCATGGCAGTGATTTTTTGTACAAAATCCGATTGCGTTAAATGATATTCGTTACCTTGTCTGAAAAAAAATACTTGAAAACTAGTAAGTCTTCTACATCATCATTTTAAATCCAGCCATGATGTGCCGTTATCCTTTCAGAGACTGTTAAATATGAAAAATAAAGCAGAATCTCGGACAAGCTAAAAGAATGATAAATGAAGGGTTTGTTATCAATTACAATAATGGTGTTTAGTGATTTCGATTAATCAAATATTAATACAGTTGTAGCCTAGTATTAGTTGTATGAAAAAAAATTGTTATAAAAGTTTATCAGATCAAAATATGTTGTGAGCCACGCCAGAGGCCTTAACACAACTTGGCCATTTTAAGGGAATCGCTCATATTTATTTTATTTTTTGTTGTAGTGTTTGTGTAATTTCTAGTCCAGATGTTAATTTTAATTCCACCTTTCATGTCAAGCTCCATAGAGGTGTTAACTTTCTGGCCTTTAACGCCATCACTATCTGAATGATAATTGCAGTTAGATCTTAATTCATTTAGAAGCTGTAGCAGGCCTCCGTCACTTAGCAAATGGAAGCACTTAAAAAGTTTCTCCCGAGCGTGGCTTTATTCGCTACAGGCACGGCTCCTGTCCCGTGTGAGTTAGTTAATATAATGAAGGGGTTCAACCAAATTATAAAAATAGAGAAGATAGAAAATATTAGATTTTTATCAAAGAAATATGTAAAAACTGATTTTTAGAATAATTAAATAAACTAGTTATTAGTGTAGTGAAATTGGAATTTTTAAAACGTTTCTACAGATAATTTATAAATTATAGAAAATTATAGAAAACCCTGTTACCTAATAGTATTTGTAGTTATTTAATTTAAAGCTTCAATGTATATGACAGATTAATTTTGATAACACATTATAAATATCAATTCAGTGTTATAACCTGCAGCAACATTTTAATGTACTTAAAATTATTATAAAATATTGCTTTAAATATTTCCCTCAGAATATTTGTATTAGCTATATTTTGGAAGAAAATATAGCTATTCAGAAATGAATTATGCAACGAAACCTAGATACAAATAGGAAACAAAAATAGATAAACTGAATTTCAATACAGAATAGTTGACAAATGTAAATGAACGATGAATGAAAAAAAAAATTTTTTTCTTTTAATTTATTTTTGGTGGCGTTGTAGTCTTTGTTGATGTTTTACCGCCTCTACCAGCTTTCTTCATCATTGCCTATCTTGGGATATTTCTTTCCAATTATCGGCATGATGCTCTATTGCATCTTTGTTAGTTCGATACATCTGGATTTTTATCTCCCACATGGTCTGTTGCATTCTATAGAGCATGTAAGACA